TGTAAATCAATGCATGGGTATAATAAACAGGTCGGGTACACTATCTTATATGAAAAGCAATTTTCAACACACATTTCCGTCACACCTATTCTCCAATCTACTGAATGAGTCCCAAAGCATGACACTCTACTACGTATTTACAATTCAATAGGACACATGTTTTCTTCGGTTTTCTGCACAATATTTACTTCGTCACCTGAAAAATCGTAGAGGTACTTTTACACTTTATAAAAATAAAATTGAAAGATTACAAAGACACTGCTCCCTGCTCACATTTTATATTTGAGTTGTTTTAGATTATTATAATAGTTGCTTCAAATGTACAAAGGCTTTGACGTTTGAATGTACATAAAAACATGCTGATAATATTGATCGGTTAAATAATAATTGCGCAACTTGTACTGCTGTCTAAAACTATGTCAACGTATATCACATGAAGAAAACTTTCAGTGTTTTATTGACATGATAGCACCTACGTCTCTTTGAACAATGATTTAGGCCGATGTATTATAAGTTGATATATGGATTCATAAAGCAACTTGTGTAAATGTGAACATAGAAATGAAAGGTACTATACATCCTTTTTAATATTTCTTTCATAAATCGAAAAAAAAGAATTGAAAATGAGTTTCCAAGGGAAATTCAAATTGCCCTTTATTTTCAACACAACTGAGTACTTGTAGTAGCCCATAATGCATTGTGACTCATTCATCTGTGGGTAAAGTAAACTGATAGCTAATTTACATGCAAATCTATGCTGACGTCAGAAAATCTAGTGATCTCCACCTGATAAAACTGTATATAAATGTAAGACTTTTTTTCAGTGCAAGAATATAAAAAAAAGGAAAGAAACAGCTTCTTTCTATAATACTGCTTTTAGAGAGAAACAAAAATGACAATGGGAATTCAAAGAAAACAATTTGCTAAAACTTGTTCCTTCAAATCATCTGATTTGGTGTCAGCCTCTGCTGCCTCAAAATCACATTCTTTCCTGTCCTTTTGTGCAAGTCTTGAAAAGAAGCTTGCGATTTGCTGCGGATTTAGGAAGAAGTCCTTAGAAAATCTTCTCTTTCCATCCTTCACCAGTGACCTCATTTCCTCAGACACTTTTATTGGATCTTCTTTTCTTCCTGTTCTTTTTCCTACTTCAACTTTTTCCAGTAAAAACAACCTCTGGTCTTCAGTGAAATGTTTTTTTGGGGGTTTTTTTTACCTTGAATCCCCATCCAACTTTCAAATTGGAAACTTTGCTGGATCTTTCTGGACTCTTTGAAAAAGATGACACATCATTACTTCCTTCTAATATCAGGGCGTACCTCACTTTAGACTTATCAGCCAAACTAAGCTTTTCCTCTCTTAGATCACAATTTCCCAGAAGAAAGTGTTGTTCTAAGGAGTAAGTATGATGCATAGCGAAATTGACGTATACATCCTTCTTCTGGACAGGGAAAGATTTTCTGCATCAACTTTCTCTTTTTAGTTGAAGGCCCCTGTATGTCCTCATTGTCATTTTCGTTAGGTTCGTTGTCTTCATCTGTCAAATGAAAAACAGAAAAATACCATCAGTTTTAATTTTAGTTTGATGTATCTAGTAAAACATATAAATTTCAATATTTTAAACCTCTACAGGACAAAAAAATTAGATGTATAAAGTGGCTTTCTATTAGATACTTAAACTATTTATTAATTAATTCATTTGAACAAATTGGCCTGTACTTAGGATTTTATTGTCAACATAATATATTTCATTCTTCAGCAGACCTCTCTACCTTTTTTTTATACCAGAGCTGTAATCTAGACCCTTACTGTTGTGGATTTTGAAAGACAAACTAAGGTGTAATTTCTTCCTATTTATTTTCTCATAGTGATTCAAAACCAGATGCAATGTTATGCAAGAAGCATGCAGATGACTGACACATTGTCCAACACCCAGGTCTAGTGAATTTTAGGGAGGCAAATGAAATTATATCATACAGTATTTTTACAACCATCGTCCATGTACCTTGTGTAACTTCTGAATCCATTGTAGAGATACGTGTCTCTGCTTCCAACCAGTCTTCATTAATATGAAACTGCATGACAGGGATGTTCTCTGTAACAATGTTTTTCCATGGGATCAGCTTTCCTAAAATTGGAATGGTAATTTTTTTAAGTGTCAGATATATTTATGAGCATCAATAGACTACCTAAAAAAACACTGGTGTACCAGTACATGTATCTACAAAATATACTTTAACACTAGACATAACTTAAAAATAGTTGTATTCCCATTAGCTTTCCTCTCCTTTATATTAACATTATAAACCCTTCACATTTGTTACTCCTCTTTGCTTTTGATAAATGAGGCATTAGCTTGATCTGGTAAAATCATTGAGGTAAAATAAATAAATCTTTGAGGTAAAATACATGTATATTGAACCAAGAAGGAAACTGAGCTTTTAAAGGAGCTTAAGAAGTAGAATATGAAGGAAAGAAACATGGTGCACAAAGACAATGCTTTTCCTTAACAATTTGTTTTGAGCTTTAATTAAGCCTGATTATTTACCTGGCCCAATGCTGTATTGCCTCCATACTTTCAACCCATTGTCTGTAAACAGAAAGTTGTGAAGAGTTGAAATAGCAGTGATATTCATAACCTTAGGCCTCCCAATGTCTGCATTGATGATAGGGCTAACAATTTTGACCATGTATTGTTGTTGTGAACTGATTGCCTAAAATGAGAAAACCAAAAAAAAATAGTGCAATAGGTTATTACTCTGAAGCTCAACTGAGCTGTCAGCTAATATATATGGTAACATTTTCTTTCCGTGCAATTGCAGCAAAACGCAATTATTTTAACAAGTTAACCAACATTTATTATATATATATATATATATAATTGTTTGGTTGTTGTATTATAATTATTCATCACTGTAAACTACTGACACATAAAATTATAGAACTGCCCAAACGGAACAAATACCACCTGCTGAGTTTTTTTTTAAAGAAAAGGTGAGAAATCACAAATATATATTTTATAGATGTAAGAGGTGTTCACTTAATTGTGGACACCTCTTACATCTATAACAGTACAGTAATACTTCTACAGTACTCTAAATATTTCAGTTAATTATGAAACATTTAGAAGTAAAACTATAATTATAGCTCTTTATATTTTTAAATGAATTAAATTAAAGTGGAGCTTTAATAAAAAAAAAAAAATCAATACTAAAAATATGGACGGGACACAAATTATGCACTTTTCCTTTCAGTGACCTTGAACATTGAAAAGATATGGAACGAACACATTTGCACAGATAGACAGACAACTTGATTCCTATATCCTCCAAACTGTTTGTAGGGGGTATAAAAATGCTTCGGAAAACTTATACAGCTATCACAATGTAATAATATTGAATAACATCGTTGTAGTTACATACCATCTTCATTTGTTTAGCATCCGTTACATCACTGCCCTGGTTGATGTATCTTTTAATGGCTGACTTGATATGGGAAGTCTTTCTGTCACAGGGCCCCTTCCCATCCTGGGGTTCACAGAAGTTGTAGGATTTTATTCTCTCGCCCAGCTCTTGATGTAAAGTTGCAAGTGTTACTGTACTTTTATAGCAACCTGCATTATCAGACCATATATTTACTTTCTTCACATTGGGTAGCAGAATGCATACATTTTGGATGACATCTATGAGTACGGCTGACGTTGCTGCAGCGTCTTGTGCAATTGGGTTGTCAAAGATATGAACATGGGTGAGATGTTTCATAGTGCCTTCTTCCTTGTATGCTGTAAATGATATGTGCCAATTGATGCCCCTTTTGGCAAACCAGTCGGTTTGTCCTTCCCTAAATTTCCTTGGCAGGAATTTCATGGCCCAATCAGCTATAACCAGAACTTCACCATCATCCATTGAGTTCAGTACATCCTGCCTAGCCATCCCTTGATTTTTTGCTCTAAGAATATGCCCCTTCCACTTATATATGTCTGATACAGCTTTTTCTACCTAGTATAAAACAAAATAATTTGATCATTATCTATTATAATACAATGAAACTATTGCACATTTACATCAGATACTTTTTTTTTTAAATATTGTTTTTTTCCATTAAACTGTGTTTTCCAAGAATACATATGTCACCTGGAATCATTAAAAATGATTATCAATTCATTTATTTATCAATCCCTTCATTCATGAGCCTAACTCAGGGTATACTGATCCCAAATTATTTTCAGAGAATTCTTGAAGTGTAGATCCAAAGTTCAAGTAGTACATATCAAATGTCAATGTCACAGCCTTATCTAGATATTTGTAATGAAGAAATAAACAAACACGGCTGCTGGGTTCGATGTCTCTTATATAATTAACGTTATAAACAGAAAGAGGGTGATTGTAATCCTAGACTGAATGCCACAATATCGTAAGATATAAAGTTGTGTTGGGGAGTGAGACCGTCTTCCCTCCCCAAAGTCTAAGGTTGGAGTGCTCGAGAAGTTAGTATTGGCGCGAATGCGCAAGAGACATAGAAAAACCAGTTTGACCACTCACACACTCGGATACTCTCACTGACCACTCACCCGTATAAATGAATGAATGAATGAATAAGACAGTGAATGAACATAGTAAATTCCGTAGTGACAACGGAATTCACTAGTTACTGTAAGAAAATGATGCCTTATAATAAGATATGAAAATGATATGAATGATAATTAGTAATATTAATTAATTATAATTCACCCTGTGACATCAATTATTGGAATTATGGTGTTTTTGAATAGTAGATCAAGGTCACAAGTTGGTAACCTTGGAACATTATAAAAACAAATGATCACAGCCAAAAAATGCCCCAAATATTAAATCTATGCCTGGTTCAACAACTTTAAACAAGTGGCTGACAGATGCCTGACAAGGTTAAACATGGCTCTGCTCTAATAATCAAGCACACATTTTTTTTAACACAAAACACTCAAAAATGTACTAGATTTAAAATCTAAATATATATACTTTGAAAATGATTGCCTCTGGATTGTCCTAATGTCTTTCCTCTGTCTTCTATGTGATGAATTGTAAGGTTTCATCCATTGAAGAGCATTCACTGCAGCCATCTGTATGAGTATGGTTGATGCAACTCTGACTATAACACCCACTTCCTTCACTCAGGGCAAAGGTACAACAATGGTCTGGTGTGGATGAAGATGCCTTCACATGCAGCTATAATGAAGATGTCAAGTTTATAAGGAAACACTCTAATATGTAGCCATGCTTCAGTACTCTTAATGGTGGTCATGGTGCAAATAAATCTTGAATTCAGTTCATAATTCATTTAAATGCAAACCTTGAAGTCTGTTTTTAAGTAGTGTTTTGCTGATACCAAACTCTTCAGTGTTATTTGCTTCTCCTCTAAGGTGAAATCTAGTTGCTGCACTATATTTTCAAGTACTTTAAATGCCTGTCCTCCCTCAGCTACATAATAATCCAGGCCTTCCACTGACTGGCGTACCGAGGCACTGCAGTCGTTCAAAATTTTGTACATTGTGCTTGTACCTTCAAAAAATTTAAAATGTATCAATTCAAAACATGTAAACTGATCATTTACATTTAGTCTTCTCACTGACTTGAAGAATCATCTTGAAGTTAGTAAACTTGAAGCAATAACATTGGCAACCTTAATTGAATTAAAAGTATCAATCAAAAATATCATTTTTCAGAAAGTGATAATTGCTTAAAATGATCATACTACTAATTTTTCAGAAAGTGATAATTAATTAAAATGATCATACTAATACCTAAACATTTCATGTTTTCCTCATGACAAAGCTGTGTGTATTGTTGCACAATTGCTGCAGGTGCAATGCTCCTTATCACATTTGGTGTCTGGATTATCTCCCCTGAGGTAAGTACCAATGTTTTTTCCCCAAATGGCAAATCTTTCACAATGTGATTGGATGTGATGAAATCCAAGAAGTGATCAAGCATTTCATCCCCAACTCTTGTGCGGGGTGTTTTCTGGAAGGACACAGGTACACCCGTACCAATATTTTCCATATGTTTCCTACCTGAGTAATATTTGTACATTGTCAGTGAAGGAATTGTAGCCTTGACTTCAGAGAAAGTGTACTGTCCAATTAAAATGGACATCAATTGCCTTCGCAAGGCTGAAGTATTTGCCTTTAAGTAAGCATCGGACACTGATGAAAAGAAGCTTCTATACATTCACTTATTTTCTGTAGATACCTCCATTTAGTACGATCACTTAGATTTGCCAGACTTTCAGACAAATGTTGAAATGGGTTAAGATCACACACTTTCAGGAATTCATTCAATTTGTTAAGTCTGTCATATCTTGAAACTGAGGCCTGACTGTCAAAGAGTAGTAGATCCTTCAGTAACAGTCTCTTGACTTGATGAGGATAAAACATCATGATCATCCTACAAATGTAATCAATAATCTTGTTCAAAATTCAAGACTGCATTTTTTTTTTAAATAATTTTTAACATGATTTAAGATGTCTTTTCCCAAATATTTTTTCTCTGTGATAACTCTAATATTTGAAAGTTAGGTAAGTTGATTTCTTGATAATTCAACCAGAATGTAACTTCTGCCAAGCAAACTTAAAGGTCATGAGCTAAGGAGGTCTAATATGCATGTAAATCTTGTGCGGCTGTCTTTTTAAGACTAACTTCAGAGGGCAGGACTATTGAAATGGAAGGCCTAGTGTAATTTTAATCTATTAATAGACAACATTTTTAATTCCAATTGTACAATTTTTTTTTCTCAATGAAATGAAAATATCAGTCACAGTCACTGTCGAGTTTTATTGGGTATGCCAGGGACATCAACAATAGTTGGAAATATGGGATAATTTATCATGCATAGGGTCACTATTTATACAAATCTGACCTTAAACTACCCGAAGATGCTTTTGTATAACTTGACTATAATAAATTTAGCATATGGATCTGCTGTTCTTCAGAAGAAAGCATTTAAAGATATTTCTAATAGTGATGCTCTATGGGAACAGTTTACAGTACAAACAAGACAACACAAAACAGATAGCCTTGGCTAAAGTGCTTCAATACAGCAAAGAAATGAGACTATGTGATTATGTATGTTAATCTTTGATAATCAAATTAAGGATCTGCATTTTTGTTTCCCTTTAGGCAGTGTCATATGACATTATCAAGTCACAATTTGTTCAAATTAACAATAAATATAACTTACACAATATCTGACAGGTTTCCTACTTGATCTGATCTCTTGAAAATCTTCATTAGGAAAATCTTCCAAAGGCTGCAATGATTATAGTATTTTTACAAAATAATTTGAAAGTATACATTATATGTATCTAGAAAGTACTAGATTTTTTGAGGATTGATGCTACTTAACATATTAATTATATCACATGTGCCTTATCCTGAAGATCATGGGAATTGGTTGTTAAAGAAGTAGGTTCAGTGTTGTCATCAGACAAATTTGTTGAATTACATGAAGCTATAAGTAAAGCTTTTCTGCACTTTGGACAAATTGCTGGAGAGTAGAAATAAATATGACAATTAATTAATAAAGAATGAAATGTTATACTTACATGTACATCATGTTTTAATTATTACAAAACATCCATAATTTAGGGATACTTAATAAGCATGCATGTGAATGTTATTTAAATCTGACCTTGACATGTAAAGTTCTGTAAATCACAATTTATATTAATTTTTCAATTTGCATGAATATGCAGAAAATCTGTTCACAAAAAATTATTCTGGTATATGTCTTTACATGTCAAGGTCAGATATGGTACATGTAGAATTTATATACTACCCTACTTGAAGAATGTATAAAGAAAAAAAACTGACAGCATTAATATGAATCTATATAATAAATTTAATACTTAATACATGTATTTCATTTCTTCAAATAAGCTTGATAAACTTAGCATATTTTTATAACATGATCAAACCAAGGAACAATTATAAAGAACTAATATCATGAAAAAGAAGATACTTATTAAATTTTTAAGTGACTGCATATTGGTCAATCTCAAAAAGTAAAAGCAAGATTCCTACTTAGAATGTGGCAAAAGTCACAGGCTTCTGAATTTATTTCTATCAATAAGCCATTTAATCAATGATCAGAGTTATATATTTCAATATCCCCTCTCTTTATGTACATGTATACATGTACACCATATGATAGAAATTCAGAGGCCTGCATGTGCACAAGCTCGCAATAGTAATGGTTCATTTTCAGTTAATCTGTACATCTAACTAAATCTCATGATTCTGACCATTCTGTATGTCCTTATTATTTCATATGTAATATGTGATATATAGCTTGTCACAATTATCAAAATAAAATTACTTACGTGTTCCAATGGGAACTACGACACCAGTAGCTTTCTGTATCTCAAAGACCTTTTGAAGATTTAAAACTCTGTCCCCCTTCACCCTATACCATCCAGACTTTTTCTGATGGTCTTTTTTAAGCGTAGTTATCACTTCTGGGAATCCACATTGTATTGACCTTTTCCTTAAACTGTTTCTACTTTAGATTTCACTTCGATGAATATCACAGATAAAAAACTTTTTCGTGAAAGATGTTGGTAAAAACCCAGATTTCGTTAGTAGAACATTCTGTATTTCAGCAATTTCTGACTCTATCGGGGTGCAATTTTCTGAACAAGCTGTTTCAACACCACAAGAGAAATTGCAGACTTTATCGTCTGCCATCTTGTTTACATTTTACTCATTTTGTATTCTTCAATGCTTAAGAGCTCCAACAAGGGAAATAACTCAGATGGTCAAAAAGGCACATTTAGATTAAATTGAAGTTGTGATAAAATGTTTATTTTTGATTTACCCATAAATGTTTTGAATGATATAAGAAAAATAACATTTCTTGATTATAAATCTGCCTTATATGGTTTTCACATCACTTGTCAAAGTCTTCATATACTAGGCCTGACATTAGAGGTAACAAGGACTAATTACTAACTAATTTAGCTTCAGAAAATTAGAAAATGTAAAATCTTGAAGACATCTTCTGTTTTTTGGGTAGTAATAATTGTCATACACACATTAAAAAATCTGCTAAAAATAGCTTTGCCTAGTAATTTTTTTTTCATATAATGGATAAAATAGCAATATCTCTATATTTTACACTTAATAGGCCCGTTTCCATGGCAACCGGGCAAACTACCATGCTTTCTTTCATATTGTCAATCTTTTCATTCATTTAAGTTTCAGTGCGAAAAAAATTACCTGAATCCAAGACATCGCGTGCCCACGTCATTTTGATATTTAGGGGGAATTGGTATTAAGCTGTTGATTTTGGTAAGATCTTGTGATTTTAAATTGTCTAAAAGTTCCTGGAAATTTTAAGTATCCACATCTGATTTACGACACTTCTTGAATATATTTTTGCGCAGTTCTCTTGAAGTTTCTCCGTAACTACTGTTAATACATGTATGATTTTGAAGAATTTCCTCCTTAGAAAGGGAATTATGAGTATAAGTTGAATTACCACTAAACTCATTCGGGATATCTAATATTAATTAGGTTGCCCCTGACTGTAACTTTTAGCTCCAATAAGGGAAATATCGTTAGGAATGGGTCGTTAACAATGACAGAACAATGCTAGTGTGGTTAAATATACATGTAATGTACATAACTTAGTTAATATTGATATATTTTTATTCCCTGGTTTCTTAAACAACATCAAAATATGGCTGAAATATTGCCGACTCGGCGTTAAACAATAGTAATCAATGTTATACAACATCAAAACATTATAAAACTTAATTCGATGTGGTTGATTAATAACCATCATGTTTTATTCCTCCCACAGATGGAAAACTAGGAGCACGAGAAAACAAACGTGAATCCTTACTTTGGTTTTATAATAATTTTTCTCTCCATCCTTAAAGATATTGAAGTTATCAAGGAAGAATCACCTTAACAAACAAAAGGAGAGGACCATGGTCCTTCTAGTTCTACTGAGCACTGTGAATGGAAATACAGTGGTTTGAAGCGAGGTACCTTTGGTTTCTAATTATTTCACATGTACAATTGCTTTATATGCGGGATCGGTAAACAACAGATTCTAACGATGAATGCAAAGTTGTTTGTTGACATTGAAAGCATTAAATCAGAGCAGAGTAGGAGAACACAAGAGATTTGATACTATTTTTTTAACGCTATTTCATTGATAATTCAGATTCTTAAGGATAATAAAACTGGACTGTTTTGAAGGGAGACATCACCAATTATCAGGTCAGAGTGGGATTGTCTACTTCGGGTGCAAGCCCCATCGGGTAACAACCCTTAGACCTGATAATGGTGATGTCTCTCTTCTAAACAGTCCATAAATTATATATTGTATCTCAACAGGTTCATGAAGTTTGGGGTTGAAATTCGGACCACAGAATACTGTGACTATATATTATTAATCAAATTAGAAACTTCTCTCCTATATTCTGCATATTTCAGCATCTCAACTCGTTCTTTCTTCACCGTTGACAGGTCAAGGTAGCTTTTTCAATGTGGTAGGGCGCTCGCTTAGTGATGGTGCCTGGGTTCGATTCTCGCGATGATTCATTTATTAGTCGTTAACATAGAGAAGGTCCATAGCATAGATAAAATCGAGGTCCCCTTTTACAGAAGAAAAAACGCCAAAAAGAGGTAATCAACATAGTTGAAATTCTTTGATCTGCACTTGCCTCTGTAATTGTAAAGTTAATTTTCAATTTTTTCCAAGTATGCAGTATGAACAACATTGGGATAAATTGTGGGTTGGATTGATTGATTGATTGATGAACGTCCCTTCCGAGAATTTTTCACTCACATGGACACGCCACCGGTGGAGAGTTACAAGTTTTGTCCTATATTCGGCACTCAGAGCCATTGATCAGTGAAGGATCTATTTCGTGTCAGCATCTACTGAGACACGGGACCTCGGTTTATACGGTCTCTCTCGATGTACTGGTGTCCACGTCCCCCATTCGGGGATTCGAACCCGCACCGTAAGGATCAACTCCTTACTTCGCGTCTCTAGAGCAG